GGAGTTTGGTTCCTACTCCATTTAACTCCAAATCCTCTTCCTTTTTCAGAGAACCCAGAACACATCATAAAAACACTTGCATCAACTCTCCAGAACTCTATGTAAGAGATCAGCTCATTCATTTACTTATCTGTACAGGGCCTTCCCTGTCTTCTATGTAAAAGTTGGAAGAAGAAACAGATACTACTTAATTAGGGACTTTGAGTGTTGAGAGGGATGGTCACCACCATGACCCCTCTCCATGCCACTCTGGTGCAGCTATGACTAAACAAAAGGACAGGTGCTAAAAATTCCTTCTACTTTTGCAAAGAACTCTTCAAACAAGGATCCCAAGCACAATATAATTAATAAAATCACCCACATCCTGTCTAGATGAGTAGCATTTTATATGCACAAATTTCTCTCTGCCCCTAGGTCCTCCAATAGTAGGAGAATGTTTCCAATTTTTAAGAGTGAGCAATTGAGTAATTGAAAGGAGCTGTATCTTGGCCAACTCCAAAGATGTCAAAGGCATTTATAGTGACCCTGTAGGAGAAAATATGGTGACCACATAGTGTGTCATAATGGTTTCTCAGCCATGCTGTGCTAAATGGTTCAAAGATGGAAAAGACAGTGCAAGAATAAAACATTTAGTTGTTTAGAGTCAGCTGCCCCTGGGATAGATATTCTGATCTGGCCAACTATCCAAAGGATCTAGAAGCAGGAAAGTGATGACATCAGCTGGTGATCCAGTTACTTTGGGTTAATCAAGGCAGAGAGGACAGATGGGGCCAATTAAGGAGCTGGGCAACCCAGTGATGGATGAGTCATTACGGGCAAGGGCAAAGATAATGCCACTGGGAAAAGCAATTTAAGTCATTCGTGCCCTTCCAGGCCAGGAAATCCTTCTAGTCTTTGAGGGGGATCATTTAGGATTCATCAGACCCAGTCTGATTAAGTCGTTTATTCATTTGCAAACAACCATCAATAAAAAGAGCTGAACCCACAAGGGGACAAGCCAGATGTAATACATTTTGGTGAATGGGATGTAGATCTGTGCCTTCATTTGAATCAACTTCTTTAAAATGAGTCTTACTCCAGCCCCTCTTCTCTTTCGCACCTCTGGTCCGCAATCTCCCCCTACCCCTTATGTTCTCATCTTCCTAAACACACAGTCTCAATTTATGAAGTTTTTCTTTAAAGTAATGAAAAATACTTTCCTTCCCGATTTCTTGTTATGTTCTTCAAATAGGTTGTTTTCTCTACACATAAAATTTTCCAAGGGGACACTTCAACATGTTACAAAACAGTTCTCTTTTTTAAGCACAAAGGAGGCTGTGTCTATGCAACAAAATTCATGCAAATTGTTCTAAGCTTCTCCAGATCCCTTACTTGTAGTCATGTTGCAAATTTGGAATTTTAGGGAAGAAGACTTATCTTTTTTAAGGAGGTATGTAGGAATCTAAAAACCCATATGAATTGCAGTAAACTATATTTACAGCTACCTGTTTCTTTAAAACCAAAGTCCCAACCAAGGGAACCAAAGAAAAGGTTATCAATGACCGTCATGTTGATAACCCCAATGAACGCTATTTCATCTCCTGACTTATCTTCTCCCTCCCTGATTTCTCCTGTCTGCCTCCCTTTTAAGCTCATCCTCCTCATACCAACCTGTACTCCAGGTCTTTTTAGGCAGTCTACTCATTGCTTCAGTCTTGTCTTGCCTTGCCTTATACTCGACCACATCTTGCTGGTTCTCAGATACTCTGTTTTTCTACAAACCACAGGACCATTGCATCTCTTTTCTGTACCAGTTGTCTCCTCTGGTTCTTTGTCTTGCTAACATTTATCCATCCTTTAGATCTCAGTTCACTCATTATTTCCTGATTTTCTCAGACTTGGTCCAATCTCTTTACTATGGTCTCTCCTAACACCGCATAGTATTCTTTATGGCATTCATCAGAGTTGCAACTTTAATTCACTTGTGTGATTATTTGATTAATATCTGTCTCCCCCACTAGATTATAAAATCTTCCCTGTTTCTATTTCTTCTTTTCCTGTTGCTCCTGACTAACTTTGTAATGTCCACCATTCTTCTTCATGGGGTACCATAGTTTGTACTGACCAGTGGCTTCCTCTGTCTCATAGATTCTGATAATTACCTTTTCTTTCAATGATCCTTAATTTCTAGTCTTCTTCCAATCATTGGTTCTCTCTAAATTTTTTTGCATTCACACTCTACCAGCAAGATAATCTTACCAGTTTAATTCATATTTATTATTTCTTTGGCAAACTTCTTATGATAGACCAACTCATGGCTCCTGGGCCAACACTCAAATGGACTTCCTTTGGGTTGAGCTTGTCTTCCATCCATTGGCTATGGCCAGGATCATTGAGAAGTCAACTTTCCTGAGAAAGTACAATAAAGCAGATGCTTTCTCCATCACAATCTGCTTGTTGAGAATGGGCAGAGTGCAGGAAGGGCCTTCCTTGAGAACTGGGATTTGATGAAGGAGCAAAGAGTAGTAACAGAAAACAAGCAGGGACAATTGAAGCATTCAACAACCTCCTTTTTGGTTGGTGTTCCATGCAACCAAGTCTCCATTCCTTGGTGTACATTGTTAAAAAATTTAAGATTTCACAGAAGTTAAGTCCATCTAGACCTGATGAGCAAACTAAAATCTCAAGGAAAGATCTGAAGTATTTTGGGAGTGATGGAACCCAGGGGAAAATGTCAGATGATTAGATTTAAAAAGTACCCTGTGAGGGCCTGTCTACTTCTGGTTCATCCTTACTCCTTAAGGGCAGCCCTTCAGCCTCTACCTGAGGGGAAGGGGAATCACCAGTTCTCCCATGGCAAGTCCAAGGTTCCAGTCCTCAATGCTGTACCCCAGGTGCTCACAACATGAAGCTGCCAAAATCTTGTTCAGCCCTTAACCTCTCAACTGCCCTACTAGAAAAAGTTGGTGTAACAATGATCTTAACAGGTGTTAAAAATAAGTTTTACTGAGCTTGAGGAGATGAGTTGGCCACCATCCATTATCTGGGTGGACATCATCAGTCGTTTCTATTGGGCAGAGCACCATAATGTAGGGGTTAATCACAGACTCTAGAACCCAATTGCCTGGGTTCAAATTCTGGCCCTGCTCCCTACCAACTATGTGAACTTGCGTAAGTGACTTGTCTCCTCGTGTATAGCATGAGATTGTAGTATCTACCTCGATACAGTTGTTGTGAATATTAAGTAAATAATTAAATGTCAAGTGCTTATAATAAAGTTGACATTACATATTTGTGAGCTACAATCATTATTGCTGATGGTATTACTGTCCTTTAGAGGTCACCTCATCCAATTATTGACCATGTATATTACACAGGACACATTTGGTTGTAGGTAGTAGAAATTCAGCTCAAAGTAGCTTAAGTAAGAACATAAAATGCATTGGTTTACACAACATGGAGGGTCTAAAGGACTGAATCATTTAGGCACTGCTAGACCCAAGAGTTCTAGTGATGCCACCTGGACTTTTACTGTCTTGAGCTTTGGCTTTCTTCTGAGTCAACATCATTCTCAAGCAGGTTTCCTCCATATAGTGGCAAAAATTTAACTTGAGGATGACCTTGTTTTTACATTACTTCCTCAGTAGATCTGAAGGACTCTGGTAGGCCCAGGTTGTGTTTCATCACTGAACCAATTAGCAGGGACATGGAGGATTCCAATACGTCAGGTCTGAGTTAAATCCTACCCCTGTAGCAAAGAGGAAAATGGGGCCAACTCTATCTGAACATCATGATGCCCTGGAGGAAGGATGCTGAGCAGAAGATACCCACTGCTCAACCCTTTGTCAATGCATCTGGGGCCATATCTCTAAGAAAAACTAGAAGACTGTGATTGACATGATTACTGAAATTTTTCTTTATTTTCCATATAAAGAGTTACAAAGACCCAGCAGTGATGTACAAAATACTGAATAACTGGTCGAACAAGAGCTGGTCAGTTTGAATGGATGCCCAACCAATCAGAATGAAGATCAGCTGTATCAGTAAATTCTTGTTGAATAGCAACCCTGCATCAAATGCTTAGCTTAGACCGATTTCTAAAGGACTTAAATATCCAGTCCTAGTCAGTCTTCCTTATTGAACAACTGCTCTCTGGCTTTACCTACTCACTTACCTGATTAGAGGCAGAACTGAGTAGACAGGTGTCTCCTGAACTCTTTCTACTCTTCAGTTCCCTTTGCCATCTCATGTGTGTGACCTCCCCACTGGGATGCACACTTAAGACAAAAGATAAGCTTTTGAGCTGAAGCACCAATAACCTTGAAATGAACACATGTACCTTGCTTGATCTTCTGTTTGGGGCCAACACTCATTTTTCTGGCTGGGGAAAGTGGAGGTCCCCTCTTCCCTTTTCTCTATTATTCTACCACCACCAAATGCCTCACAAAACCGTCTTGGTCTCTGCTGGATCTATCTTTATCCAAGGATGTACTACCCCTTCAAATTCAGATTGGATGAAGTGTTATTTGATGAAAGACCTAGATGAAGGGCAAATTAATGGGCCAGCTGAGCTTGGCTAAAAAGCCTCAATCAACAACTGGTGCAGAGTGGAGTGTGTGTGAGTGTGACTTCTTGTCACACTCCCTTCTCCTAAACTGATGTGTTTATGGCAATCAGCACAGAGTCCATAGATAATAGATATCTAGTAAATGATAGTTTATCTCCTTCTTGTTAGGCACCCTTCCTACTGCCCTGCCACCTAGCCTTGTTTTAGTTGCTAGCAGTACCTAACAGCACCATCCCCCCTGGATCCTTTCTTCCAGGCTTAGAGATGGTCCTGAACATCAGTGCCCACACCTGCTCACCAGGAGGTACTTTTCCAACTGACTTTGTCCCCCTCCCAGCTAATAATGCAGCCTGCACAAAGACTTGGGAACAGTTGCCAAGACAATCTGACCTTTGCTTTCCTTGTCCAGGTGGGAATTGATGGATTTCATGCCTGTCTCCTTTCACGGTTGCAGAGAGTACAGCAACTTGTCAAAAACACAAGGTACTTCAGACAGATTGAGAGAAATGGATTCATTATCTATGGGAATGAGGAATCCCTCATGGTTTTCCTGCACCTTTACATGCCTGCTAAAGTAGTGTGAGTATCCAAGGACTCTCAGAAGAACACCTAAGCCCCAGGACATCTGACTGATGGTGCTTTTGACACCAGGAGGCTTTTTCAGCATAGGTATTGCTTATGCACATTGGATGGGATGCCAAGTTCAGAATTCACTTGTCCAGCTTCTCAGAAGCCATGTGCCAGCTCATCAGCAAGTGCTTTCCATGGGCCTTATGGGAGGGGAACCAGATGAGAAAGCCCATCATTTTCAATCACTGTGAACTGGGGAGGGTCATGTACCACCTGAGGCCTCATCTGGAAAGTAGGGATGATCCTGTACCTCTTACTACCCCAAGAGCTTCTCAAGGAGAATTTCAGAAAACCAACTCTCCCAACATTTAAAATCAGCATTGCCAGGCTCTGTGCTTTCTCCATGGCCATCCTCACAAGAAGGCAGCCTCATCTCAAGTGTGGGGAAACTTAGGCTGAGAGCAGTTAAATATAGCTTCCCAGTGTCATACAGGTCAAGCAGTAGTAAAACCAAGAGGCAAACCCCAACTTAGACTCACTCTAAATCTCTTGCTTTTAACACCAAATTTTAATGCCTCTCCTGTAAGCCTACTTGGGGTTGTTTTCCACTGACTGCAACTCAGGAGTTGAGCATCAGTAACAACTGCATAAAGAAAAAAATGTCTTTTTCTCAGTAGGTACAGGTGATTTTATACATGAGCCATTCTCCAGCCTGCCAGAGACTCCAGCCTGCCAGAGACTGTTATTAAAGGAAAGTTAATTAAAATCTATTCTAAATGTAAAATGTGTCTTATGGGGATGGGGTGTATAGCTCAGTGGTAGAGCATGTGCTTGGCATGCACAAGGTCCTGGGCTCAATCCCCAGCACCTCCATTAAAAAAACCAACACATAAATTCATATGAACAGACAAGAGTGGAACACACACACACACACACAAATTTATGCCTGACCAAGCGCCTGGTGGAAAACAATTTTCAACATGTTTATCAGATTCTCACATCTTGATTCTCCCTTAAGCCCATTGTTGATACTTTCTGTTTGATTCTATAACAGCCTAAATAGGTAGTATAGAGAAGAAGTTCCAGGGCTATGAGTTCAGAATCAATGATGTGTAGGATTGAGTTATAATATTCCCAAAAGACTGAGTCTTCAGAGTACACTCTTGTGTCCCTTACCCCAGCAAAATAACCAACAGTTAAAATACATGCATGAGTTATCTAGTGCACCACAGCATTTCCACCACTCAACCCTTTGTTCATGGATCCAGACCTAGAAATCAGGAGTGGAGTGGCCAAGAAGACTGTGTGCTACAGAAATGTCACAAGACATTGCTCTGTGCTAATGGCAGGGAGGAGTGACAGTGGTGATTCAAAGTGGTAGGTAACCCAAACCCTTTACCATCCAATCTTGGAAGACACAAAGGAAAACCCATGTTTACTCAGAGTGGTTGTGGAAATGGTGTGTTGTGACTCTACACTTAGCCCATGCCTCTCTAATATTGTATGATTAGCTGAAATGGAGATACTAAAAGTAAACTTATTTTTGAGAGTGTAAAGTACACAACATTGGAGGGTGGAGGTCAGGATTGTGCTGGATAGTTCCCACTTTGATGATGGAAGCTGGGATTAGAATCTCAACAGACTGGGAAAATGAGCCCATCCAATGAGAAGAGTCCACAAAGAAGAAAAACAAATGCATTGAAATGCAAGAATTCAGCCGCAGGTTAATGGAAAGAGGGAAGGAGTTCTCCTCCTTCTCTGTATTCCAGGGGTCCTGCCTAGACAAAGCTAATGTGAAAAATGAGAAGGAAACTGCAAAGGAGTTTCCTGGAAAGTTATGTTCTAGGGCATAATGAGATGTTTGGAATGAAAATGACTTTTTGACTCTGCCTTTTACTAGCTGGGGAGGTGGGGTCTGGGACAAGGTTACCCAACCTTCTGAAGTCCTGCTTTTCTCATATTGAAAATAGGACCTATTTCACAAGATCATTCAAAGATTAAATAAGATTACATCTGTCACCATTTGGCATGTTGCCTCATATAAGAGCTACTCAGTGTTGGCTGTTATTATTAATAGTATGAATAATCCATATAAAGCACTTAATATAGTGCTTGTTATACTGTAAGGACTCAGTGTACCCAATGTTATTACTAAGACTTCTACTCCTACTGCTGCTACAATGGTGATTATTATTAGTTTTAACTGAGTGCAAGGTTGAGTCAGCATGGTTGTGTGGTTTTTCAAAATAACTATTACAATATTTGGTTATGTTAAGAAAAATAGAACTTCAGGGAAAATAGTAGGAAAAGATCCTGGTATGCTTCCTGTCTCAATTAATCTATGTTGGATCCTGGGTGGTATTTCAAACTGTCTAGTGACTTCCTCTTTACGATGGTTTTTAAGAAGAAGCTAACATTGCTGATGTGAATTATACGCTAAGGAAGGCTCCCAGACCCAGTGACCACCCCTGAAGGCGGGATGCTTTGTCTCAGTTTACAAATGAAGACACCAAGGTGCACAAAAGTCAAACGACTTTCTCAGGGTCCCTCACGCTGTAGGTAATAGAGCCCAGAATTCAAGCCAGTTTCATTTGCTTCCTAAACCAGAGCTCTTTTCAATGCACAGAACACAATATCTCAAGCTTTAATCTCCAGGGGAAAATACACATCTCATTAAAGCAGTGCAGAGCATGAGCTTAACTCTCTTTAATGTCACTGCTGGTGAATCAAAAGCATCAATTACTACAATGTGGGAAAAATTTAATTACTTGGCTTGTCTAAGGAAACAGAACAGGTGAGTTACAGCAGGTAATATTACATGTTGTTGGCAGGAGTTGCTGGCTACTGCTGGCCTGCTGCCTGGCCCTGTTTCCTTCTCTGATATTTCTTCAATGGAAAGTTACTATGCAGAGAAGCTTGGGAAACAGGAGTTAATCGTATAAGAGAGTGTATGAGCACTTTCTTCATTTGTTCATTTAAAACCCTTAGGTTTTATTAAAGAACTGTGATTTCGCCCCATCTCCACCTACTACAGAATGAAAATATCATCTCTCATCTGTTATCCTTTTAAACAAAGTCCTATTGCAACTCTACCACTGGAATCTTTTATAGAGTTTAGTATAATGTGATTTCACCCATAAAACATTCACTTAAATAATCAAGAATGTATTGGATTTACTATTCGGTACAGGGTTTACATTTTCAATCCACGAGCCTCATCACACACTTGGAGGATGGCGATGCATGCAATGCAGTGATGCTGTGTGCAATGCAGTGATGCTGTGTTCAGTGCAGTGCTGGTGTTTTATTATTGTTAATCATATACTTTAGTTTCTTTCCACCTAGGCTGGCTCTAATTTGCTTTAGGGAGTACCAACCCAGAAGTTCATTATACAGAATGTTCAAGGAAATCATATTCTTTAACTGAAGAAAGCTAGGTTTGGTAGTGTAAGTTTTAACCCAGAAGTGCCCCAGGAGGCCTCAGATTAGCCTAATGAACCAGCAGTCATGTATTTTGCTCTACATTCTTTGGCAAAACTCTCTTCCTCTGCTACAAAGAGAAAAGTGCAGATGGTGAAAATTGTCTCTCAGGAGTCTCGAAAACTGGTTCGATATCATGGGTCAGGTGGTTGTACTCTAGTAATGAAAGCACTCGACTTGCTTCTCAGGCAATTATGAGCTCTTATCCCATGCACAGCTTTGTGTAGGCTGATAAAGAAAGAGAAAGAATGGCCTGTTTTCAAGCTTTCTCAGTCAGAAAGCTCCATCTCCTTGTAATCTCTCCAGTCCAAATCAGAGGATGAGTCTTCCTTGCCTGAGCCAGAGGGTCAGGAAGGCTGTGTGTCTGGTAGGTCTTGGAATCTCCACAGATTCATTTGAGAACCTGTGTGCTGCACAAGGCAATCCAAAGGCAGACAGCTAAACTGGAGGGAATGGAAGACCCAGCAGCTTTCCTCTCCACATCTGTGTCAAGGATTCTTTGTGAGTTTCCACTGGAAGGTATCTGTGGTGCTGTCAGCTTCCAGCCTGAAATAAGACACTAGAAACCTTAGTGCGAAGAACAGACCCGAGACATTTACTGATATTGCAGGCAGAGCCTCTGTGTGATTCAGGATCCCTGCAGAGAGTGACAGAGCACAAAGAGGGAAAAGCTCACTTGGGGCACATGCCTGGATCTAACATTGGATCTTGGCATCAGAAATTTACAGACTTTGAGAGCTTGATATTCTAGAATCATTACTGAAATTAGCTTGGGAATAAAAAGAGGCTAGAAGCAGCTAAGGGGAAGGATTCATAGCTTAAAAAGGTTTTACTTTGCATCAAAGAGCTTTATTTTTCTGATCCAAACAACACTGAGGTGCTCGTGAGTACCCAGGTCTGTAGAAATTAGACCTGTGATTCTCTTAACAAGTTAATTCCTGTGGAATATCTGGCTTGGAAGAAGCACAGAGATGTCATCTAGACAAACACGTCCAGACTTTTGGGATCATGCACTCTTATCAATACAAAAATTTAAGCACATCTCTTACTGTAAGTACAAGAGAAGGTGAAAATTGACCCCTTGAATGTCAGGGCATTAAGGTAGGAACTGAACATAAACAACTAGGAACAATGCTCACAGTAAACAGACAATGTAGGCAAGTCCATTCAGTGACCTTGTTTGGAACAAGAAGAAACAAGGCCACTTTGCAAACACAAAATGACTTGAAATGTCCCTCCTCTAATGTGAGTGACAGCTGCTCCTTTACTGAAGACAGCTCTAACCCCACTTTACTCCCCCTGCCTTCTCGGTAAGAAATCTATAATAACAAATGCTGACCTTCTCCTGCTTTCTGACAGCATCCAGCTCAGAACTGGTGCCCACTTCCCTAGAATCATCTGGTGCACAAGTCCCAGTGTGATAAGTAACCCTTCCCAGCTGCCTGTTACTAAGACGGTTCTTCTAGAGTATGAGCTGCTGTGATGCAGCAGTCAAGTAAACCCAACTTTGCTTGAATTCAGGTGTGTTCCAGG